TTCACCAGAGACAGAGTGGGGAGCAGAACAGGTAGATCAACGAAGTACACTGCTGAGGGGAGCAGCGGGCGGGTCAGGAGAGGTCTGCCGCGCTATGTGGTCACCTCCAGGGCTGGGAATCCAACTCACACCTAAGCAGCTAGCTTGCAGTGCTGTGTCCTAACCCGTTGCACTACCAAGGAGGGTTTTTTTGTTTCTAAAATTAGACAAAAGAATGAGCTTTGACCTGAAAGCTTGCTTCAGTTATAGAAATTAACTAAAAGCTGTCTTGCAGTCTTGGGTGAAATCGCTAATTCCTAGAGTTGTGGACATGGTTCTTTTTATCCTGGCTTGACTTTATTTCAGATCTATCACCAGTTGACATAAAACTTTCAAAAACCATTAAAAACTGAAAGCAATGTCATCAAGCCTTCCTTGAGGCTAGTCACATTTCTAAGTTTTCTCCCAATGCTAATAGGTTTTGGAGTTACCAACTACTGTCTAACAGTACTTACAGTAAACACTTAAAAATTTGTACTTTGGGTTGGCCAAGGTGGGAATTAGTGTCCTTTCAAGTTTATTTATAGACTTGGTTCTGTTACAGCAGACTCCCTCTAAAACAAGTAGGGGTGTTATACATGTAACGACTTCACAGGAAACCTGGTTTTGCCTCCTACCACTCACATTTTAAGCAGAAATGCCTTCACTACACAAAACCTACAGGAATCCCACTGTGAGTAATTAAGTAACCAACCTCTTAAAAACCTGCCAGAAGCAACACTGTCTAAAAAAATCTAGTGTGTCAGTTATTTAAGTTCTATTTCTGCATTTAAAACTATGATTACTTGTAGAAAAATATTACATAATTTTATGGCAATGAAATGATTGCCAAAACAAAGGTCTAAAATTGTCATATTGATACATATTTGAATTATGAGAAAATGGGTTACTGTAGTTGAGGGTGTTCTTTATTCCCTTATGATACCTCACTCTCCTCCCCCAAATTTTTTTCCCAAGAGACAGGGTAGGGTTAATACATTCAGATGTGTTTTTTTTTTTTTACCAGAAGCATACCTAATGCATTAATTTGGAATTCATCCTGAAGAGCCACAGATTTCAAATTTCCCTTAGATCTCTTATTTTCCAGAGCTTTCTCAGGAGCAGTAATTTCATAAAAACCTGTAATAGTCAGTCCTGGCTATCAAGGTACCCTAACTATGAATCTAGATACTGCAAAACCAAGAGGGCGCCTTTGTGGAGACATTATATACACAGCAAGAAAATGAATTAAATGCAGTTGTTTGATAAGGAAGAATGAGTGTAAACAGAAAGCTGATTCTCAAGAGTGACTGGTTCCCAACTGTAAGGTGCTACATGGTTACCAGGGTGATGAATCTATTTTATACCACCCCTTTCTCCCATGGCTCCTCACCATTTCCTCCTTTTAAAGCTTCCACTACGTTTTACAAACCAAATGCCACAATATAAGATGACAGCAGGGGCAATAATCTTTGGGTTTACTCTTAACATTCTCCGGGTCCAGGCATGAAACAGCCTGACTCAAAGTAAGTGCCAAATTAGGTCAATGTTTACTGAACAACTACAGGGAGAAAACTGCTCAGTACTGGATTTCCAGTCTCAGAATACACTCATAGTTTGGAAAACTGACTTATCATTTAGGCGCAGTGCTTTTGAATTTTTTCCCATCAATGAACCCGATAGAAAACCCTGACACTGTTTACTGTCGTTGATACTTTCTTTGCGTATCATACCCTGGGCTGCCTGTTGTCACCTAAAATCACCACCTCCTTTACAGTGCCTTCTGCACTTTAGGGGAAAAACTACATTATCCAGAATTTTCTCTGTTTTCTGGCCCTGTGGCAGAGTGGACAAATAAAAGGCATTTCAGTGATAGGTGAAGACAAAGAAAAAGGGCAAGGCACCCCTTCCTCAGAGCTGTGGTCTGTGGACAGGCAGCAGACATGGTCACCTGTTCTGGTGAGGTCAACAGCTGACACAGCTGGTGGCAGCTTGAGAGACTCTCAGGCGTCAGAGCTGCCGGCTGAGGGAGCTGGAGCTCCCAGTTGTTCCTGGATTCCCAGTGACTCTCAAGGCATGAGATACTTGGTAGGGTGGTGCAGACACAACTTCCCTGTCCACTACTCTGAGACTGACAGAAGCTTCTCTTCCCTAGTGGAAACTTTATGCTTACAGCGCCATCAAGTGGTCGTTCTCCTAGCTGAGTCTTGACAAGAAATGTTAGAATAGTTTAAATTAACATGAAGGGAAAGCACAGTTTCTTAGTCTTTAATTTAGTGAGAACAAGATTATTTCCCTGAGTTCATTGACTTTAGAAAACCTAGTTGTAATATGAAAAGATGACCCTGAATGTTTACAACCAAGTGATTTCTTTACTGTTTCTCAAATGACAGTATTTTGAGAACACAAATTTTAAATGCCTAGGGAAAATAGTTTTATTTTCATCGATAAATAGGCTGTGGGTGTATAGTTAAGTAGAGCTGTCAGGCATTTTGTCAAAGAAATGGCACAGTGTAATGCTCTTCTAGTGGAGATTCTGCTAAGTGCATTTCTTTGCTGGGAGGTCAAGCTGCTCAAATCTTCTGGTGAACTGAAGAGGTCAGGTTTTTTTTAAAACGAATCATGAAAACATATCCCCCCATTCCAGAGAAGGTGCCCAATGATGATATCTACTAGTAAGAATTGTTCATCCTATTTTAGTAATATAAATGTCATTTAACTCATCACTTATCCAAACCTTCTTTATACTATTCTGATCATGCATACAAGAGTCCATTTTCTCTTTCAAATATGTCTGATTGTGATCCTACTCCCCTAAATAATATACAGTGTAGTAAACCAATGTTACCTCAATAAAGATAAATAAAACAACTACATGTTTATTTAATTTATAAAAATAAGTTACCCTTGTAGACGACTCTTTACTAGGAAGGTGGACAACAACTTTTTTTTAATAGGTTTTACCTTTTATTATGACATTTTTTTCTACATGAAGAAACAAATAGAAATTACACCAAGAACAATGATTCTGCTCTTTCTTGCTAAACCATAGAGCAATTGTGTGGAAGAAACAGCCTTCAATTTTTTCATATAAAAGTTGTCTAAAAAGGTTGGTATTCACAACATTATTTTGTGTGTGTACAAAACTTGAACTTTTTAACAAAAGCAGCGAAGGCTCTGAAGGACCCCGCAGCCACCTCCCCGTGTGGCAGTATTCTCAGTCAGCGGTGCGGGCGCGGCTGGGCGCCGTGGTGCTCAGGCAGCCTGGCTCCAGTACTGTGTCCATGGCCTGCTGTCCTAGACTGAACTCCATTTGTGCCTGTCTCTGCATTTTTAGGGCTGAGGCCATGCCTACTGAAAAGCAAGCTACGTTACAATGAAATGGCATCATTCTCTTACCATCAATCCTGTGCATAACCAGAATATTTTAATATTTAGTGTCAAATACTTCAGGCAATACTGGCATTCAAAGTTAGCCAAGAGGCTCATTAATCTCCATCATTCACTTTTAGTCATATAATATATAACTTTTTCAGTTTGAGGTTCAGTTCAACTCAAGCTGATGTAGGTGTTAAATCATGAGAACTCTAACTTTGTTACATAGCTGGAAACTTCACATTTCAAAGCAATTCTAAAATTAAGGTGTTTCAAAAATTTGGTTATTTACTATGCTTCTCATTTTATTTTTCTTAGTGAAGACAGCTCTTTTTATTCCCAATATTTTAATATCTCCTTTAAAATTAGTATTTTTTAGAAGTTGGCAAGGCACCTAAGTTCCCATTTTTAATCATTTATTTATATCTGCTTTAAAAATTTACAAGTTGTTACATTTTAGTGAGTCCCCCACAGCCTTCTCCACCCAAGGCAAGGATCTGCCATCCAGAATTTCTCTCAGGGCAGTGCCTGGAGAGCTCTGAGGACAGCCTCGCCTCTGCTCAGGTTCTCTACCATACCTTCAGGGACCAGGAAAAGATCTAAAGGACAACAGAAATTAAAGGTGTTAACATCATACCCCTAAGTGAACTGCTCTTGTTTTGGAAACTCATGGTGAAGCAAACAGAAGTAAATGCATTTGCCTGAATGTTAAAAAAAGAAACATCTTACCAAGTACCGTGGCCAAAAACTGAACTGGTTTGTGGCAGCCAATGGGGCCTTCATATAGCCCTATGACGCTGGCTGCCACCTCAAATGGGGCACTTCCACAGAACAGGCCTTATCAGCTGTAAGGAGCACATAACAGCTAACACCTGTATTAATTCTTGCTACTGCCCACCCTCTTTACTAAAACAATCTAGTTCTGGTAACACAAAATCTCAAAGTTCCTAATCTCGCACAACAAACTTTAGTTTGTTTTGCAGAAAACATGCAAAGTAGCTCTACCTACCTATTAGTGGCAAAATCTAAAAAGAAAACTTTAAGTGTACTCCAAAAAGATAAGTCAGTTGAGATTTCAGGCAGCACAGCGGCAAACCTATGAGCTAAGTGTCAAGTGTTGGTCCCATGAAGCAAGAGGTTCTTATAAAATAGATGTTCCCAGACACTTAAAATCATCTTTATTTTGGTTGCAAATGTACAATCTTCTTTGTTTCTTAACATTTTATTTGTTCCCATTTGAAATCTCACAGCCATGTAAAACATTGCCTTCACTATCAAACTGCTATATAAGAATATTATAAAATACAAACTATAACCTAAGATAACCCTTTTTACAGTATTCAGTTTAGTGCATTAAAACAACATTGATTTAAAAAGGCAACTGAGGTAACTGACAAATATCCAATTCCTTTTCTAAATGATGGCACAAATTAATATGCAAACTAAACACTAAATTTGTAGTAGGTGCTCAAAAGTAATGATTGTGAGAAAGTTACTTCCCAAAGGTAATTAGACCAAAGGATACATAAGTAACCATTATTTTATAGAATATAATGGAAGCTAGTTAAATTTTCCATTATAATAGCTGTGCAAATACACAGTGAAATAGTAAGATGGAATCTTTAACATTGCATTCTAACACAAAAGGAACTGACCTGTCATACTGTTCCTTCAAATTACATTAAACATTTAGTGACAACACATTCCTCAGTAAATGTCAGACTGAAACAGAGCCTATATAAAAACAACCTATCCTTAGCATTTTACTAGGCAATCTACAGCAGATGCTTAATATATACACCTCAGGGGTTTGTGATATACTACAATCATATTCAATGATTTCAATCAAAATCAGGGTCTTAAGAGAAAACAAATAAAAGTTAAATAATCGGTACTGTTGTGAATCAGAAAAAAAAAAAAGAACACAATTAGATATAATAATTTCCCTTTAAGGTATTGAGAATATCTCCTCTGCTGATGAATGAAAATCAAATTTGGTATTTTTAAATGAAGTAACAAAATCTAGGTGTATGTTGCACTGTGATAGAAAAACAGAAATACACAGAATACACAGACCTTTAACTAATTCCAAAAGCTAAGTCGATAGGATAAATAAATTACAAATGAAAGGCATATACAATGTGGGCAAGAGCAGGATCTATGCCAACCGTGGTATTCCAGAAAAGGTCAGGTTAGAAAATGCCAGATTTAATCCAAAGGAAACCTCCCCCAAAATAAAGTATGGTAACCATCTCTTACATTTAATAGCATCGAAAAAAAAAAGGATTACAGGAATCTTCCCACATAATTTAATAGTGTAGTATAATATTGCACTCTTTCATAATTTTAGCTGCGATTCACCCCCCATATGATGAGACCAATAACTACAACTCCGATGACAAGGATAAAAATGATGATGCACAGGGTTTTTCTGGATTTGCGCTGCAGATGCAAAAACAAAAACATGTTTACAATGTGGTGGAGCACTTCTATAGCAACTGAAAATACTTTGGTTAATTTTGAGAGTAATTTCAATGGTCATTTATTGTCTTCAACTTTTTGAATGTATTTTTTGCTTCTCAAAAATTTCAATTCATATGGCACTATTCTTTCAAAAACGTAATTTTTGGTGGAAAACTGGGATAATTAACTTTTTCTAGGGGTGTGGCTGTGCTTACAAAAGATGATGCAGAGAATTACAATTACTGATATAAGCAATCATCTGCTACCCTACATAGGAAAACAAAGAACATTTTAAAATTTTATACATTTTGAAATTTTTATCAAAAAACTGCTTTTCAAAATGAATTTTCTTAAAATATCAGCAATCATAAATGTTTGGCAATTTTTCCTAAAGTAAACTTACTATTTTCCAATCATCCCCATTATTTAATAGAAATATTATTAATATTAATATTCTAATATTAATATTCATACAGATAAAAACAAAGAGCTAAAAATATATGAAGGTTGGGGTTTAGTTCCATTCTTCACTCTTGGACTAGGTGTAGATCACTGCGCTTCATTAATGGCTTGCGCATCTCATAGTAACATGCAGGAATCCTTTTTCTTATAAAGTAGAAAAAATGTGTCATTTTACTTTGTGTCAACTAGAAGTATTCTAAAAATATACAAAGATATATTCCTGACTGAAATTACTCTGAGCCATGAATACTTAATATTCATGTAACTTTTCAATCAGACACCCCCACGGACACTCATGTAACTTTTCAACCGGACACCCCACACGTATGAAACACAGTTTCTCTAAAGTTTCAACATTGATATGCCAAAATTTTCCCTAGACCCTTTCAAGTTTATCTCAGATGCATGTGTAATATGCCTTTATAAGCCACCCAGACATTCACTCAGTCTATCTGTGGCCTTGGGCACCGACCTAGTGTGGAAGGGAGGGGTATGGCGTGGTTCTGGGACTTACATGATAAGAACACTTATCAACTCCCTTTGTGGGCATGTTCCATCCAATCTCTTAGAAGCACTGTATTTTGCAGGGTTGCGAGTTCAACATAAAGGCCTCCAAGGGGACCCCAGGAGAGCTCCCCAGGAGAGTTTCTCTCTCCCCAGCACTTGTGCTACATGGCATTTTCTACGTTCCTTCTGGGCCTGTGAGGTTAAGTGTGGCAAAGCTCCAGAACTGGAGGTAAAGCTTGGAAAGGTAGATTCTTTCCTCCCATAGTGGCTGTAGGTTTGCTTTTCCACGGGAAGAGGAAGAAGTAAAATTTTGGGATACACCCACCATCTGCCTCTAGTCCAAAACCATAAAAAAATAACATGCAAGTCTAGTCAGTCACTGAGATTCCTGCTAAACAGAATGCTTGAGCAGTAATAATGCATTTACAGGGTCATTTACAGATGACCCTGTTTGTGTGTGTTCAACTATTATTCATGAATCATGAGCATAAACTTGCCCATGACACAATGATAGCAATTCTGCTGAGATGCACATCTGAGTCACATGCAGAAGGGGATAAACACAAGTTACTGCCAGTGAATACAACTGGCTGCAACTCAGCACTCTATAAAGCGCCATTGTCTGCACTACTGAATATGCAGTGATTCCGTCCAGTGAAAAATGACACACCCTACAGGGGGCTTCTACAGGAAACATCTAAGGTTATAATGTGAGAAAAATGAAAAGTAACTGAAATTATCTAAGATGGTGACCACTATCTTGGATGTTTTACAAAACAGTAAAAAGATCTGATAACCTAATTATGAACAACAAAATGTAGAGTTTTATAAGAGAAGTTAAATGCTATCGTGTTATTTAGGAACTCCCAAAGACCCTGATCTTACCGTTGGTTAACACCAGAGGTATTACATCTTTCTGCTACATATTTTAAGATATATTAGTAGTTCATAGTCCTAAAATTTGCATAGTACTTTACATATTTTATATTTCACACATACATATGAGTTCCCTATATTAACCTGATTCACTTAAGTACATTCACTTCTGAGGAAGGATATCCTGAAGATCGACCTAACAGTTAATCTAATGGTTAAGGACACTCCAAATTAATGCAATTTCCATATGATTTAAAGAGTACAGTGAGAAAAGGAGGCAGAAGGCTCTCAGACACACCTCTGGCCTGGAATGTCACAACAGCATCGGAGACCACCAGTTGTCAGAAAAACCTGCATTATTTCCTGTTCCCCTCCGGACCCTAACGCTAAATTTCCTACCCTGTGGGTCATAATTCTGGTTCAGACCTAACCCAGTTTTAAGCTGACTGACATGTTTGTGATCAGCCTTGCACACACACAGTTAAAAGTCCCATGATAAAGATCTGTTACAGATAACTTTACCTGATAGTCTGCTGCCCTCGACAGCTGCTGGTTTGCTTGCTGAACGTGCACCTCTGCATTTTCGACATTGGCTTCTATGCTATCTTTAATACAAAACATTCACACACAAAACCGTTAAACATGGAATAGATTTAAATAAGTCACTATGTTTCATTCAAGTTAAGATGATCACTATTCAAATATTAATATTAGCAGTATACAGACAAGGTTGAATTTGCTTTTAAGCTAGCTATAATTCATCCCTAGACTATTTCTTGGGTGATCCAAACAAAACATAAAAATGAAAAGAGAATAAACTTGATTATCCTCACTACAAAACAACTACAGGTCTACCTGGTAACTGCTGAAACTAGTTTGCATTCTCTGCTGGCCATGGCAGTGCCAACGTGTGTCACTCTGCCACAGGGCAATGGTCTTTCCTCATTTCTCCCAAGTTCTTGTTTCAAATGTCATGTTAATGAAACTCACCAAACCCTCCCTGCAGTAGACATCCACAGATCTCGTGGTCTTTTCTTCTTCATTTCTTGAACATTTTAGCCTGATTCACTGATATTCTTTTATGCTTCTGCCATTAGATACACTGATTTTAGTATCTAACTGCTGAATTTCTACTACTCTGGTCTTACAATCCCTTGACCGTTCTCTGGGCTCTAATTCGGGTGTCAAAAATGTTTTCTGCAAAAATTTTTTGGAACATGTTTTTTCCCTAAATATTTCTGTAAATATATTTTTCTGTATCTGTAAATATTTATGGTGAACATTTTAAGTTTTGTGGTTGACATGATTTGCCATCAATACTTAAAAATGCCTCTGTTATTCAGAACTACCACAGATAACACATACATGACTGAGGTTGTCCTAAATATTTATAGGGCCAAGAGGTTGGTTCTCAGACCCCTCTATTCTCTATTGAAATGTTTCGTAGGTGATCTCACCTAATATACAGTTTTAAATACCACCTATGTGCAGACGACCTCCCTGACACCCCTACCAACCCTTCACTTGGGTGCTAACCAAAATGTCAAACTTACCCCAAAACTAAAGATTTATATCCACCCAACCCTGTTTCATTTATGGAGTGCTCATTTCAGCAAACTCCAACACTATCATTTTCATGGGCCATAGCTAAACTGTAAAGTCAGCCTCAAATTCACTCTCACACCCACTTCCAGTCAGATGGCAGGTCTTTTTGCCTCCACGCTGGGACAGCATACACAATTCCATCACTTCTCATCTCTTCATTGCTTCCATCTTTCTCCAAAGCAACATAATTTTTACCTGAATTCCCACCTAATAGTACTTTAAGTTGTCTCTTTGACAACTTTGGTCTTAGCCTGTTATAGTCTGCTCTCAACCTAATTGCCAAAGTGAGTCTTTAAAAATCCATCTCAGATTAGAGTGACACTCCTCTCCTCAAACCCTCCTGTGGCTTCCCATCCATTAATAATAACAGTCCTTCCATGGCTCAAGAGATCTATGACTGTGACATCATCTCCACCTTCTTGCTGCTTATTTCACTTATCACAACTGTCAGGAATGCTTCTGACTGAAGGCTGGGCCATTATCATTCCCTTTGCCTTTTACTTGCTTCCTTACTTCCATGAAGTCCTCACCAAAATGCCATTTCCTGGTAAGATCTTACCTGACTGACTGTCAACACAATGTAGCAACATTCTCACCATCCGCACTCCCATACCCCTGCCCTGGCCTTGTTTTTCCTATACTACTTATCACGAGTCACTTTTCCTTATTTTTAAAAATTTTCTCCTTCATTTAGATTTTATGATACATGAATTTTGGTTATTTTATCTTTTGTTTATTTCAGTTAAATCCCCAATGCCTATATTTTTGCCTGGACATTATAGATATTCAATAAATATTTGCTGGATAATGAATAAATTGGTTTCTAAAGTTTTTACCCTGTGATCTAGTGGGGCTGAAGAGGATAATATTTGTAGGTTAATGTATGTTGAACAACAGGCCCAACTATTTCAACTGAACCAAATTCAAGAATGTACAAATATAAAAATGCATCTTTAAATATACCCTCAGGTATCTTCAACCACACCTTAATTGAATAACCATTACATGTAACATGAGTCTTGGCCACTAGAAGAGTTTTGAAAAATTCTCAGCATGTAAATAGTATCACTGAATTAGTAACAAAAAAATTGAGTGGATGATCAGGCAAATATCTACTTATTCTTAAGTCAAAGACAAAAAAGTATGTACAATTACAAACAGCACAAGGTTCCAAGAAGTCTTTGACATGGTGAACATTAAACTGGGATAAACCTGAAGGCAGATGTCTGGTATAAGCGGGACTGAAGCTACATGGTGCCTTCAGGAGTCAGGGACAGCAGTCCAAGCTCAAATCTGGGACTTTGGAGACAAATGAAGCCAGTCATTGAAGCTATTAGTAATCAAGTGAGATCTGTCTAAAACAATGCCAAGGGTGATATTCTGTCCATTGTAGAGAGAGTGCTTTTGATTCCAGGTAGCCAAAATAGAGGACCCAAGCAGTTACTCTGGCTTGAGAAGCTACCACAGGTAAAGGGCAGTTAGCTTGGTCTCACCTCATGAAACCTCATCAGTAGGCCTTACCTATCACATCTCCTTGCTCATGAATCATCATTCCCAAATCTTTAAATATTTCATTAATATCCATAATGTCAGCCTAGGAGGAGGGGAAAAAAAAAACAAAACACATCATAACAAAAAACTCAGTCTCCACTACACAAAAGGGAAATATAAAGGAATCCCAACTATCACTCATATACTGGTGAATATGCATCTAGACATTCATTTTGGAAATAACAGAAAAATCTTTCATTATAAGGAATCATATGCAAGAAGACCTTAAATAACAGTAACCAGTTCTCTAAAATAGGTTTGCGATGTTAAACATATTAAGGAAATAAAAAGGTAATAGAGCAGGGTCATGGGTTATATAGTCTATGGTTATATATTCTAATATTTTTGCTACCACAACAGTATTTCCTCATGAGAATGCATAATATTTCTGTTGTGACATATTTTAGTAAAAGTTTATATACCAATTTGATAATACAAAAGAATAAAATGTTCAGTTGTAAATTTAAAGTCTCACATTAATCAATTTAAACATGTAATGAAATAATGCTAAAGCAATTATAAATTTACTTTTCTTCAATTATGATAGCTACTCTGTTTTGCCTGAATGAAGAGTAAAGTTTAAATATTTTATTCAGGGGTGTGTGGAACAATTTAAATTGTCATCCTGTGCCTTAGTTTCCTCATCTGTAAAATAACTATGATAACAACGCAGTTAGCTACTTCATAGAATTTTAGTGAAAACCAAATGAGACAGCTAATATAGAGAATTTATCACATGGCACACAGCACATGGAAGGACTCAATAAATTGTAGCTATTATTAGTCTACTTGCTTGAGATTAAACAGGCTCCATTAAAAAACCACACTTAACCCTTTAGATTTCTTTGATGTCAAAACATACCAAAGAAAAACAAAATATTTTTGAGGACCCTTGAGTCTTATTTATGTAGGTAATAGGTGTATCACCTCTATAAGAACACTCTCTCAACACTAACATGATCTGAGTTAACAAAATGAAAATAAAAGGTGAAAGTGCAGGAAAGCATTTTTGTTCACCCTAGCACTAATTTGAAAGAGATTATTTTTAAAAAGCCAACAGGAATTATTCTATTTATAGGAAAAAATGCCCCCAAATTGATACATTTCTTTAGTCTTCTTTTTTGAACCTGTGCACTTCCAGGATTATCTAAGCTTCTTAAAGACAAACTCACACCAACAGAGCAGCAATGTAAAGCTTACTTCAAGTTGCCTGATAGAAGATTCTCGCTCATGGATAAGGCGGAGGTCATCCTCTGTAATTTCTTCATCCTGCACCTGTACTTGAGGTTGAGTTTGGCTAACGGAAAGAAAAGAATATGGACAAAAGAAAGTCTGATATTAGAACAAATGACTTACCATCTATTTAGGAAATACATGGAATCTTCAAAGTGAGGGAATTATTCACAAAAATTTCAAGAATATTAAAAAAACTCTATTGATCAAATTTTATTCATGCTTCATTTCAGAGAAATATTTTAGAATTAACAATTCTAAAATTAGGAACGATATTGGCAAATAAGTTAACACTTTCAAATTGACTTAATCCTCATGCAAGGAAATAATCTATTTAAATAATAATTCAGTAGTGCTTGGATAAATTATTTACAAAGTATTATTGCTATACTGGACTATCATATATTTACATATTTTATACTTTATAAATAATTACTTTGAATTTTTTAAGTTTATTATTTTCAATTTATAAATAACTTAGGACATACATGACATAAAATACTACAAGCTTTATTTTTGTACTAGGGACTCTAATCATATAAAAAGTACCTGAAAATTATCTTTTCATCTGTATTATGATATATATTTCTTACCTTTCCCAAGATACAAGATTCTTTTCTTTTGAGCTGTCCTCAGGAAAACCACCCTGAATAATTTAGTAACAAGATGGGTTGAGAAAAGGCAAAAAAACAAACCAAAAAAACCACAACACTTACATTTATACTTAAAATAATTTAAACTGATTTGTGTGTGTGTGTGAGAGAGACAGAGAAAAACTCTAGTTCTAATTTTTTAAGTCAACTGCTTTAAGGCATGATAAAACTATATTCTAAATTGACAAGAATATAAAATAAATAGTATCTGATAAAAATCTAAGTCTCTAAGAAACAGGAAACAATTTGTCATAATTTCTAAAGGAATTTCAAAGTGCAAAACTCAAAAGTCCATTTTTGATTCCTTTATTTTTTTTTTTTTTTAAAGATTTATTTATTTATTCATACAGAACTGGGGTACAGGCCAGAGGCTCTGGGGCGGTGAGAGGCTTCACCAGAGACAGAGTGGGGAGCAGAACAGGCAGATTGACGAAGTACACTGCTGAGGGGAGCAGCGAGCGGGCCAGGAGAGGTCTGGCTCGCCATGTGGTCTCCTCCGGGGCAGGCGGCAGGCGGGAATCGAACTCATGCGGAAGTGGCTTCAGATTCTCAGTGCTGCGCTTTAACCCGCTGTGCCACCAGGGAGGGCCATGATTCCTTTATTTTTAAGAAGTGTATATATATTTCCAATATTTCAATATATTCTGTTAACTTTTTTTGATTAAGAAATAAAATTTTATTATTCTGAAATATTAGAACATTCTGTTAATTTTTATACCCTCTCTACCCCAGCATGAACTAAAAGGACCACCTCAGTTTCAATTACGGGAATACCGTTTAGGATTAGTCCACTGATCTTTTTTGATAAGATGTTTTTATATTTTTTTATATTACAACCTTTTGTGACACAGAAAAGCAGCCACAATAATACTATCATCCTTCTTAAAATTGAGCAGAAAACCCTGAAAATATTCAAATATTACTTTTCAAGATCATCACAGATCTTTATGACTTAAAAATAAGCCATTGTTGTCTTTTAAGTGACCACAAAGAATATCATGTTCATTTAAAAAATACTTACAGATACTCTGGAACTGGCTCTAACCCGAGCAACAAAATCCTTCTCCTTCTCAGCAGCCTGCCTCTGGACCTTTTGAAAGTTTGTCAGTGATGTTGTGAATTCAGCCACTAAGCGATCTTTCTGTATTTTTCTTTGACGCTAGAGAAAAGGGAGAAAAAAAAACCTACTGAAGTCAAGCTGTGAGGTCTTATAAAATTTGTGCAACTGTTTCACCACTAGCTGGCTCTTTATTTAATTCTGACACTGTCACTCACTGTAACTGCAGAACCTTGCCTGATTATTCTCAAGAACACATGCTAAAAACAGGGCCACTGCTTTGAGAATGTTTTACGGTAGTTTAGTTTTGTTTTCTCCCCCTTAGAAAATCTTATACTCCTACCTAAGCTGTAACTTCCACTAAGTAAGCGTGGAAATAAACATATACCCCTAGGAAACCTCACATCTTGAAGAGGTGTGCATGGTGCAAGCAGTCCTCAAGGCCAGGAAACAATTATTCGAGAAGCATTTTCTGAGCACTTAATTGTGGGTCAGAGCAACTACATGGAAATAATTTTTGCTTTATTGCACCACAGGATACTATCTGGGCAATTAAATATAGTTTTGTGTTCTGTGAACTAATCTCAGATAGAACTGCTTCCCCTTCCACTCCCATTTCCTTTCTAGCCTAACAGTTCAAAGATCCTACAGTGCATTTGATTTCTTCCATGTTCAGTACAGCAACAATTGTCTTAAAGCTTGATACCTGTTCACTGGGGGTGGTGGGCAGAGATCCAAACTCTTTAATGTACTTATCAGTTTCTTTGGCAAGCTGGTTAGTGTACTGCTGCTTCTGTTGCCTAAAGTGAGAAAACACACATTACAGCCAAAGAACTAGCCTCTTTAAGTTAACGCCTCTGTCTCTTCAACCATGACGAAGTTTTATAAAAATCACTTTTTAACAGATTGACTCTAAATCTTCCCTATGAAAATAACATTTTCAGGTTCTATTCCTGGAGAAATATTGAGCACATATTGAGTACAGGAGGATCTGTACCAACACAGGGGTAACTGAAATTTGACAGATAAACATTAACAGTCATTTAGAAAGGAAGATGACACACAGCAATTCTAGATTGATGTGTGAGATACTGGGAGTGTGGAAACCTTTCATCTGTGTTCCACAATTGAGAGAAGAGCTGACCAAGGACAAGGACTGATTGTCTTAAACTGACCAGTTCCCAGGTTTTAAAGTACATTGATTGGTCTCTCATTTCTATACCTGGGTACTCATATCCTACAGGCACTTTAAAAAAAAAAAAAAAAAAAGAGGGAAAGAAGTAGTAAGTAACAGTGTAAACTTAACAATTATTTAAATTTTCTATGGAAAAATAGCATTTAATGATACTAAGGAAAAAAGGCTTGTGTTAATATGATGCCTTACAAATGGTATCAGTACTTCTCATATACATTATCTCTCATTTTAAGCATGTAGTTAAGGATCCTTTAAAATGATGCTATAAATATAAATGTGTTTATAGCTATTTCGTAAGGAAGAATTTCAACATATTTTAAAATCTATTTATCAAGTATACCTAATTTAAGGACTTTTAGAGAAATAGTTAAAAATTCTAAAAAGACCTTAATGATGTCTTTCTGCTATTAACCTTAGCAAAATACTGTAATTGTTAAGAATTACATATTTTTTTCAGTGTTGTACACCAATGTTATTTAAAATAAAATCATCATGTGTTCCTATTACATTGTACTTTATTTTAATAAACAATGGGTTACTATTTAAATTTGGGGCATTTTTACCACCCTGACATTTATCTACTGCAAGAAAATACAAATTATAGATAAGTGTACATTCTTCAAATTGTACTTCATAAAAAGAAATGAATTGCTATTACTTCTTTTTTAATATCTTCCTTTGTTCAAATTTTCCTTCTATGGCTAATGTTATTTGGAATATAATGTACAACATATATATATTTCAAATATGCAACCGTAACAGGACTGAACTAAGATTCAGGTTCAGAATGATGTTGGGCAAATTACCAAATCCCCAAGACCTGTTTTCCATATAAACAAAATGGAAACAGTTCTTCCACTCTTTCTACTTCACTCCAATTTTGTAAGGTTCAGATAAGAAATGTATAAACATTATGTAAAATCTGTAGTACTAGGGACTCTAATCATATAAAAAGTACCTG